GGATCTGTAGTCAGACATAGGTTTGAGGGCTTGCCTTGGATGTGTCACCTGTCTGGTCTCTAAAAAGATAAGACTCTTGTTTAGGAGTAGCTGGAGCCTGGTCATGGACCAATTCAGGGTCCACAGTTAGGGTTGAGGTCAGTGAGACTGTTACCTGGGGCATGGGGTGGTATGATTCCTGGCCGGTCCCTTGGTAGATGGTGTTGGTGGCAGGATCAGGGCCAAACAGGGCTGTAGCCAAGTTTACAGTGTGACAGGGCTGTTTCCAAGTTAGTAGCTGGGTCTACAGTCCATGGTCAGTGAGTTTTTTACTTGGGCATGGGCCTGCCTTCTCAAATGTACCTTCGGAATCTAAATATTTTACAGTTAAATGTAACATCTACTGGGAAATTAGAATCTAAGTGTTAACTTATATGGTACAGCTCAATCTACCTTCTGAAACACTTTGATTCAGTAATGTGCTGTCTACTTATCTGAAGTTACACTCCACACTATCCATTCCGAACTTTTTAAAATCTTTTCTTGGTCTTAAACATACGAATTCACTTTCGTCTTGTAAACTTATTTATTTTATGGCTTATCTGTATTTTTTTTCATCCCCCCAAAATGGCATTTAACTTACAGCAAATATCTGTTTCATGTCATTCATAATATTTAGATCATTTTTCAATTCTAGCATTTCATTTTTGGTAATTATCACTTGAATTGAGATCTTACTTTGAATTAATTAACTTTGCTATTATAAACAAAAAAGCTCTCATATTTCATTAAGTTTGTTTTGTGAACATTTGCCCCTGTTTTCAAAAGTTACACTGGTAGGAGAATGTCATTTCATTTTTTAGCTGTAGTCCAGCACCACTGTTAATTAGGTGTGTGGGTCACTGTCCCTAATGCACCAGAAGTTTCTACATTTCTGGATCTCTCATTCTTATTTTAAATTGCTTTGGGAATTGGGGAACAATTATAACAACTGTTGCATAACAAATATTTACTCTTCCACATCTTTGGAATCTGGCATTGTTTGCTGAACCTGATCTTAGTTCAGAATACTGACATAAATACTAAGAAGAAAGTAACTGGGTCTTCTAGAAGGTGGAAATAATTTATTAGTATACAGGTGAGTCTTGAATACCATGCAACTGTACCTTTTCAATCTATAGTTAAAGCTATTATTAAATACAGATTTAAAATGTGAACAGCATGAGGCCATACAGCTACTAATTTATTATTATGAAATAGCTATTATTTATTATTATTGTTATTATTTGTAATACCTGTTAATCCATAAAAAAGTTTCCATATGCCACCTAAATTTTTCTGAAAACACACCTGTGAGAAAAGTAAGGCAGTTATTTTTATCACTATTTCACAAATGAGAAAACTGAGACTGTATTTTAGAAGAACCTCAAACCTAGAGCTTTTGCTTCTAAGTCCCAAGCACGTGTGCACTAGGATAACCCTATGCTACATTCATTCCAGTACTTTCATTACATAAATTGGTAAATTTTTGTATAAGATGATATCTCTTTAGTACTAAAGATACTTTTTTTTGAAACTTAGAGCCTGATGCAAATGAACAATTTGGGCATATTAAAATTTCCTTGAGTATGAATCCACAAATGCTATAGAGAGAAATTTCTTAAAAGCCAAAAAAAAAAGTAAACCTTTACCTATTCAGTCAAAATGCATTCATAATGTGTAACCACTTTGTTAAGCCACAGGTGTACAGTGGTGACTTCCTTCCTTGTGTCTCTTGTTATCTTAAAATGTATAAAGTAACCAATTTAGATTTCTGGGAGAAGAATAAAGGCATCAAGACAGATCTGGCTCAAGGTGGATGTGAATTGGTGAGGCAATTTATGTCTAGGAGGGGAAGGCTTAAAGCAGGTGGCAAAAGTACTTTAAGTGACCTAAGATATATTGTCACTCCATCTGTGTTTTTGTTTTGTTTCGGTTTTTTGTTTTTGTTTTGTTTTGTTTTGTTTTGCTTTGTTTTGTTTTGTTTTGTTTTGTTTTGTTTTGTTTTGTTTTGTTTTG